TATAATATAATATAATATAATATAATATAATATAATATAATATAATAAATATTTATTTATTTTAACCACCAGCTAGTCTTTCTTTAACACTCACTTACATGTGTGCGCATGTATATGGAGGTCAGGACAGTCTGCAGGAATCTGTTCCTCTCTTTCTATTATGATATAATAATTCATGATACATAGCCTTTGCTTTTCTTAACATCCCTTTAAAAAAACAAAACTCCTACAAAAAACTAAATGTTGAATACTTCCATAATAAGTATAGAAGTTAGTTTTTATTTTCATTTTATTTTAAAATCTGGCTATGTGTGGCAGTACAGGCCTATAATCTCAGCACGTTCACCTGAGGTGAGATTACTTGAGTTAGGAGCCACCCAGGACTATACAAGGAGATCATATCTCAAAAGGAAAAGAAAAAAATTTAACAAAAACAAGGACAACCCCCATCCTTAATGACAAAGCACTTGCCTAGCAAGCATGAGACTTTATGTTTCTGCAATACCACAAAACACCACACACACGCGCGCACGCACGCACACACACACACAGCTGTAGCCTCTACACTTCTAAAATTGACTTGGAAGCAACTTTCATAATTTCATTTAAATATTCCTTCACTATTACTATTATTCTTTGCTACCAAGCTTCCACTAAGGATGATCTGAGTACAAACAGTTGACAGTCAAATATTGATCCCCAATGCATTTCTGCCATCCCTAATACTGAAGAGGCTTCACAGACATCAGGAGTAAACGCAGGACTCTCCACACAACCGCCAAGAGTGTGCACAGCATACTCACTTGCTTGCCAAGTCACCCCCGGGGGGTAGGCTGGGGATGCTCTCACTGGCCAGCGTGCGCATCACATGGACTAAGTCAGGGACGCCTTCCCCCTGCTTCTTTACGATCTCTGGGAATCAGAAGTACTGTCTTTGTAAGTGTTATCAAAACTCATATTTTAAAACACTGAACAAAAAGTATCTTAGGTTATCACAGTTTTTACTTTTACTACACCTGAGATTTTCTAAGTATAAAATTAATTACTAATCTTCAAAACTTAAAGGACAAAGAATGCAGAAAAGAAAATATTTACTTCAACGACAAAAATGTGAAAAGGAAAAATACTACTAGTTTACTTGATCTATTACAAAAGATTCTTTTTTAAGATGCTGACTTACAGTTGAGAAGATCAATTCTTGTCCTTACACTGGATACAAATTTTCTGTACTTTACCCAATAAAATACATTGCACATATAAAAATAAACTCAAGACTTAAAAAATCCTTTAAGTATAGAACAATTTACATATTTGTCTCTATCATTTTAATCTATATTTTTATAGTTGCAGCATGACTTAAACAGCATGCACATTATATACTTGAACATCACTCTGCAGATCAATTTTCCTCTTTAAACGATATATACACAAATACCATTCATTCCCTTCCCTTGTTATTCAAGCAAGGCTTTAAATGAAAAAGGTCTAAATTTCATGACAAAAATAAAGCTGTACAGTTGGATTTCAAATTAGTTTAAAAGCATCTGGTTGCTAAGTGTACACTGTGTGGGGACCTACAGGTACAGTATTATTACCACAAACATCCCAAGTCATATACAAAGAGTCTTACTTCGACTCTAAACTAAGTACAAGGCATCATTGGAAACTTATTCTCAGGGCAAATTTCAGCTAAAGGCATTTGCAACTTTTTTGTTTCTCAACATTTACATTAAGAAATGGTATTTTCTTTGCCACCCAGGCAAGAAATTATCATTTTAGTTCTCCAAGTGTAAAAACCTTTGAAATTAACAATGCATACAAAAACTTGGTCATTCTCTGACCAAGCCTCTAACTTCACCAGTAAAGGCACAAGTTAAACAGACATTGCTACTCATAAAATCTCTTTAAGTGATTCAAATTGTCTTTCTAAAATAAAGGCCAAAGTTTAGCATCTATTATATTATTGTATGCCTTCTTTTCCTTAAAACAAACAAACAAACAAACAAACAAACAAAAAAACCAAAAAACAAAATAAAGCAGTTTTAAATCTGAACAAAAAGCAAGGATCTCAGATTCGGTTTGCCAAGTTCCTTTATTGTGTAATCTTTAACATTTTGGCATATTGATCTTCTACATGGTTCTAGTGCTGAAAATCTACTATACAAAAATAAAGGGATTTGATGCTTGCCTAAGCTACACAGGTTCACAATCTAACACTGCAACACACAACACAGTGTCTACTAAGCCAATACAATCATTTGGTTAGAGCTCTAGATACAAGAGAAATGAACACTGATGATAAATTCAACCAATGATGGTTTTGGTCCTAAATAAAATCCCCACTGTATTTGATGTAGCTTACATCTTCATGAAAATATGTTAGGATATTGTAATTGTGAAGAATACAGGAAAATAATTCATTTTAAGAATGAAAAAAGCTTTAGAAACAATTAGTATCCCTTATGTGATGAGGGACAATCATTTAAACTGAACAATTACACTATCCCTCTTCCTTAGGCTTCTCCAAAGTACTGAATGAGAAGAAAATCGATCATTTTAATTGTTCTTGGACTATACATTTCACAGACTGTAAAAGACTTGGTACTTTCATAAAGAATACGTATGTCATGAATGTTCCATGAACACAGACACAACCATAATCTGTGTCTCCCCACCTTCCTTAATAAAGTGTTCCCTCACATGTGCAACTTCAGGGAGCCAGGTCAGCAGCAGTGGTGGGGAGGTCATGCAGGTGAGTATATCTGAAGCTGGCCAAGGACCACAAGCACAGCATTCTGCTCACATATGGAAGGGATCTCTATCTGCACCCACTGCCTCAGTGAGGGTGGACACAGCAGCAGCAGAGGGGAGCACTGGCCTTTCCAGTGTTGTATACACACAAGCCAAAGAGGCTGACAGCACATCAGTGAGGCTTAGTAGCCATAACACTTCAGTCAAAGCAAGGATTTAAAAAAAGAAAAAAGTATTTGGTGCCTGCTTTAAAAGCTGTGTATCTTCATTTGAGACATACATCATTTACAGTGCAAGGTTACATTCTATGCCTTCAATAGCAGCACCTTTAACTAACATCATTTTCTCTCTAGTTGCATCTCAGAGCTAAAAATACCACTTAATTTGTGACATATTACCTTGAACTGCATGATAAAACACTTGAACATAGCAAAAATATCTACTATTAATGTAAACTCTGCCCAGATGGCAACTCTCACTTGATAGTATGAAATATAAAACTTATATTATATGTAGTGAATGTTTGATAATTCCACCAAAAACTTTAAAATAAAGCACGCTTAAAGAGAAAAATAGCAATTCATTCCTAAAACTGGATCTCACTTCATAGTAAAAATACTAAGATATTTATTATTTCTTTATACCATAAAATGTATGCCCAGATTAAAGTGCCAAAACATCAACATGAACTTACCCTATACATATTTTTTGGCTTCATATTTTTCTACTGATCAGCAGTTTAGAGCAATCACTCTTTAACATTCTAAGTACTTTGAACTGTTTTATCTACAAATAACATATTGAAATTACTTAAGATATGAAAAATTACAAGACCCTTAAAAATAGTGAGGAAAAATGCATTGACTAGTACACTCAAGGAATGGACCACTAAACAGTACAAACACAGACGTTAGCATACAAGCAGGGAGAGGGATAAGAACAAGACCTTCTCTAGAAACACTGACAACCAAAAACAAGCATTATGCTAATAAACAGATTACAAATGAAATCAAGCAATTGAAAGGGAGAAAATAAAATTAAGATGCACACTAATTTTAAAAATGAAGACACAATGAGATGCAATAACATGGCAGATTAATGCTTGCATGCCAATTATGGTATCAGAAGAGCCAAATGCACTTTTTTCCAAGGATGTTTTTGCTTATAGGGCCTGCATGGTCAATATGCATTGTGTATGTTCACACAGTGAACCTAGTGTGACCTAGTGAACCTTAAATTTGGTCCCCAGTTCCACAACCAAGTAACCAACAAGCCCCACCAACAAAAAATTTCTCCAAATATTTAAAAGCAATGCTTTTTTTTTGGTACAAACACTTTCCATTTGTTCTAAAGTGACCTGCGGAGATATCAGAATCACACTCGTGGGGTTGCAGGCTACTTTCTTGACTTCATCTGGGAAGTCCGGCCAGTTCTGCGCTGTAAACTCAAAATGTCCATGGCTTAGGAGTAAAGCCGTGAACCAGCTGAAAGCAAAGTTTAAAAGCTGTGGGATCTGACAGTTACTAAACATGTGACCTTCAAGTTCTCAAAACCAAATCAACAAAACAAAAGCACCCAAAATCTAACCAACCAAACACAGGTAATTAAAAATATTCCAGAGACTTGAAGTAAACGTACACATCTTTTCAGAGGAGAGGACACTCAAACAGGACAAATCAGGCTTTCCCGGCATGAAATTACTCCTGCCAGTAAGTTCGGCAAGAATCTTAGAGCCATGCTTCAGTCATTTGGAAGTTTCCTAAGTATAGTGCTCAGGCCCCAGCACACATCTAAATAAATGCTTACTGCAGAATGTCCTTTCCACTTTTACACACTAAGTACTACATGCTAAAGGCATGTAACCAACTAAAACCTTTCTAAAACGTTAGCCTTTGTATCGAAGATTTTGTTTTTTAAATAAAGCTACTTATTTTTTGTTAAATGATCCACCTTCTACTCTGCTTTCCAGGTACTTGTCCAGCTCTGCCTCCTTCTTCACCGCTTCTGCTGAGACTTTAGGTGCATTTGGAAAACAGATCAAAATCACACTCATGTTGTCTCGACTTCCCTGGGAAGAAAAGGTCAAGAAAATATTTGATTTTTCTTCTATTTTTTTAAACCTTGATTATCTTTATAACTTGGCAATTGTAAGGAGAGAAGTGGTAGGTATGAGGAAGGCCAGGTGCCTCCGTATAACCTATCAACAGCATCCAGAGGAATCGTTCCAGGTTACAGCAATGTGGGAATATAATACCTACCACATGGGTACTGTGCAGCCTCATATGCCATGAAACACAGTAGAGACTGTCAGTGCTGGCCTTTACAAATTTCACAAATTTACACTTGTGTAGGGTTAATGCATGTCTCTGAAGTACAAATACGTGCTCAAAAGGAAAACTAGATCAAGTTTTTTTTTTACTTTCTCCCAAGACAGGGTTTCAACAGAGACTTGGCTATCCTGGAACTCACTCTGTAGACCAGTCTGTCCTCAAACTCAGAGATCCACCTACCACTGCCTCATGCTGGGATTAAAAGGAGTGCGCCCACAAGTACAGCCCGAACTTTATACGTTTATAATCTGTATTATATATAATTTATGGAAAAACTAATCTTATTAAACAAATAATTCAAACAGTTTAATATCAAAGACAGGAAAATTATAAATGTGGCAAATGCTAAGGTACTGAATTATTTTAAAGCAGCATGAAAAATTTCATATAATTTCAATAACTTACTAAAATCCAAATTGGTGAATCCAATTCACCAAGTTTGTTTGTTTTTTTTCCCTTTGGTTTTTCGAGACAGGGTTTCTCTGTGTAGCCCTGGCTGTCCTGGAACTCACTCTGCAGACCAGGCTGGCCTCGAACTCAGAAATCTGCCTGCCTCTGCCTCCCAAGTGCTGTGATCAAAGGCGTGCGCCACCACCGCCCGGCTTCACCCCCCTTTTTTTTTTTTTTTAAAGTTAATATCACTTAACTCTCCAGCAAACCTACCAAAAGACTGCTGAGTCATACACTAAGCGGGACAAAGACCACATGTGCCTTGCTGTTGCTCATATCAAGATTCAGAAACAGGACACTAGCAGGCTGTTACTCTCTGTTGCCCTTTGGAAACTCACAGGCTGGATGTTGCATAAACTTAACTTCTGGTAGAATTAAGATTTTACACTGAACTGAATGTGTGGTCTGTTTTCCAGAAGTAAGTCATGGCACATCACTGACAAAGTAGAACACTGTGTGGCAGGAACAGCAGGACGGTAAGTCAAGGACCCTAGTTTTCTAGTCTGGATAGCTGGCGATTTAAGTCAGGAGCATGTTTTGACTATGGATTTATTATCTATCAGTCTAGAGTATACACATATACACATAAATCCTTGATTAATTTGATATTATCTATACTTTATAGCAACAGAAGTAAGCCTTGCTCCTACATCTGTCTGACTCACAGAACCTTCCTTCTCAGGCTTCAGTCCCCTGGGGCTCAACTAGCTCATCTATGTACACGATTCCTCCAACTGCCCCAGACAGAGTAATCTGTTTTTATATAACAAACAAAAGCTTACCTCAAGCTATGGATTCTCATACCAAGTCCTTCTGACTCCTCATCCGAGACAATTTGTACTGCACCATACCCAATACTCACTCATTTCTTTTTGTATGGATGCTATACTTACTGAGGTAGAGTTCCAGAGCATTTCTAGAACTTACAATACTAAGCTACAAATTTTCCCACCCTCTTTCTCATGCACTTCTGTAGTACTTACTATAAAGCCTAAGCACTTGGGGGCTGGAGATGGCTCGGTGGTTAAGAGTGCTGATTGATCTTCCAGAGGTCCTGAGTTTAATTCCTAGCAACCACATAGTGGCTCACAAGTGTCTGTAAACACTGTAATCTGATTCTCTTTCTAGTGAGCATGAGAATGAACACACACACACACACACACACGCACACACGCACGCACGCACGCACGCACGCACGCAGTACTCATGGGTAAGAACTAACCGTTTAGATACAACTCTTGTACACACTGGCTAATTTCCACAGTGTCCCCTTATTTTCACAGTTGATAAAGAGTATTATATTTTTGAGATCTACCGGCTATAAGATACTAAAGCGGAATAATAGTAACTAATGGCATAAAGTTGACTCAAGAAAAATGTCTGGCTACCTTATACAAACAGGTGTCGACTACTTCGTTGCAAACTTTCTCAAGGTCATCAGTGACTTCAAGTCTGGATCTCACAAAGTCACAGAGCTCTTCATTTCCCATGACATCCCAGATACCATCACACGCAAGAATGATGAACTGATCGTCTTCTTCAGACCTTTCAATATCGTGGACTTCGGGCTCTGGTGAGACAAGCTGCTCTGTGGGACCTTTTCCATGGACACATTTGTAATCAAAATCCCCAAGGGCCCTCGATACAGCCAGAGAGCCATTCACACGCTGAATCATCACCGAGCCCCCTGCATTCTGAATTCGTTCTTTTTCCAGGGGATTACTTGGTTTATGGTCTTGTGTGAAGAAGTGAACTTTTCTATTCCTACAAAGTAAACCTCTCGAGTCTCCACAGTTAATGAAATAAGTATGTTGGGGAGAAATTAAGACACCCACAGCTGTTGACCCACTTCTATCTGCACCATGTTTCTTCTCTGACATAACTCTCATGTGTTCATCAATCTCCAGAAAACCTGTTCTGATTCCATTCTTTACGTTTTCCACAGAAGGTGCTCCTGCAGACCCTTTAAAATCCTGGTTATTGGTGATGTGATCTAACAAGTGCTCACAGCAGTATTTGGCAACCTGAGAACCAGCATGCCCATCATATACAGCAAAGAATGACCATGTCTCAAGTCCACTTGGCAAACCGATCACAGCAGTGTGTGCATCCTCCATTTCAACTCGCCAACCTTGCATGCTGCTTAGGCCGTAACGCAACCCATTCCCCTGCCCCTGGGCATTATGCTTTTCCATCTTTGGCTTGTCTAAAAATGCTCCCATTATGACTTGATCCTTTCGGTCTGTAAAAGAAGAGAAATAAGAGAGTCAGTAACTCTCTTTGAAACAAAACATATGTCCAACAGTCTTTATGCAAAATCTACAAGATACAAGGAAGCTGGAAAAATCACAGGCTGTGTTGCTGACTTGGAATGTGGAGATGAACAAAAACAGGGAAAGGCTGATCAAGTAAGTATAGCTCAACTAGGCAAGCAGAGGGAACTAAATCATCAGGAAAAGGAGAGCTTGTATACCTCTCTGTGATACACCAAGGAGGCCCAGCAGGCACTCAAGATGTGCAGTCTTGAAATTTATTTTTGTAAATCAAGAAAAAGACAAATTCCTAGAACATAAAAGTATCTACTACCACAGATACCTTGGCTGAAGACTCAGTTTGGTTCCAAGCTACTTAGTTTGTTTCCACAATTACTCACACTGGTCCACATCGTTCTTTAAACACTTGCACATCCAATCTCCTTAGCTGGAGCCCCCCGCAAACCTCTTTACTACCAGAAGAACTACACCGGTATCTTTCCTTTAAAGTCTACTTCAGATTTACTTCCTTCATCAGACTTGCCAGTCTTGATAAGACCAGTCAGTTATTAAAGGAGTCAACTTCAATTTTCATGTTGTAATACATTAAATGACAAATTTTACTACACAGAATAAAGTTAATCTGATAATTAAACTAATCATTATTATGCTCTGAGGACCCTAGGAATAAATCATAAGAGGCGCCTAGGTTGGCTCTTCTAATCTGATCGAAGACTTAGCCAGATCCATGGTCTGGAATGAACTCACACAGGCAGACACAGTACGTCAAGATCGAGGATGGTCCTTGCTCAAGTAGCATTTTAGTAATGCAGACTTCAGTCCAAATAATCAAATGAGTCACACACTACAGAAAAAGCTTAAAGCAGCATACAATACCAAAGAGAGGAAGGAGGTTGAGGAGCTGCATATAAATAAGGGTGAAAGACAGTCTCCAGGTGAATAAGCATGAAGTTTTCAAACTAGGGGACTCAAGCGCCAGTGACTAATAAACTGAGAAATGGCATGGAAAGCCCCCAGAGAAGTAAGGAATTTTGTTTTGCAGCAATTATCCCTCCCACCTTTTCCTTTTGCTGATCAATTCCTACACAGGGACTGAAAAACTGAATTAACCGATTTCCCCTTGTGTGCACATGTACGGCAAAACTCAAAAGATTAAATTTAAAACATTCCCATGTGATTTATAAGGCATATCAAAGTTCCAAATCCTGGGGGTGGGGGAAGAATTAGATGGAGGAGTACATAAGGTATTATGGATTGGTTAAAAGCCAGGTCTGCGGCTCATGCCAATAATCCCAGTAGAGGCAGGTGGTCCCTTCACCTCCTGCAAAAAAATATGCAAGGGAAAAGAAGCCAGAGGATAAGAGCCAGTGAGAAGAATGGGCTCCAGTCTACAACTGGAAATACTGAGGAGGAAGTGTCTCTCACTGAAGTGGGGGAGCGGTGGGGGTAAGTAAGGCTCAAACTAAAGTTCATTTAATAGACAAACCAACAAGAAAAATCAGGAACCACATACTCCTGCCCTAAGATTTTTCCAACATCAAGCCCTAAAGAATACAAACTCCGAAATTAGACTCCTAGGTTCAACTCTGGCTTTACTTGTTAATAACAGTGTGACCACAGTAAGTGTGAGACCACTAACTTTTCTGAATTTGTTTTCTTCATCTGTGCAATAAAGTGTTAATCTTTCTTTTCTTTCTTCTCCCCTGCCCCCTTTTTAAAAAAACAAACAAAATAAAAAGTCTGAACATAGTAATATACTTTTTGGCGTGGTAGAGACTCATGCTAGGTTAACTATTCTATCCATAAGCTACACATTTATCCCGTGTAACACACCTTAAAACATACTATAAACACATTAATAGTAAACAGGGGTGAGGAGGGCAATGTCATCTCTTGCCTAGCTGGCAGTATCAAAAGTTGGGATGAATGTGGGGAAACCAAACTCCAGTGATTCTAATAACAGCAAAATGCATAACATGTCAGCTCAGGGATCCTAGTGACCTATTCCAGAGTAATGTGCTATTAATGGCAGATAATGCCCAGGTTATAGAGTCACCTTTGTGGTTGTCTGTCTTGCAGTAAGGCAACAAAAGTAAGCAAATACCATTACTCCAAGTGAATGTTCCAAGCGCAATTGCATACATCAGGATTCTTACTATAGTTAAAGAACTGGGAATACATCATCTTATACTGTCCCATCTGAAAGATAATGTGTACAGTGATCATTCCTAAGAGCTGTAAAAGCAAACCTCAGAAATAACTTGCCTCTGAAAAGGTAGAATAGATAGTAAGGGGAGAGCACTTAACAGACAATTGATTCTATCACACAACAAAAGACAGTATGTTGAGAAATGCAGCAAAGCAGTTCTGTGTGCATACACAGAGAGCACCGGGACTCTCTTCACTGTGCTCTCCAGCACTGAGCCTAACAGCAGAGACTCAACAGCATGTCATACTGTACTAGCTTCCCTCTCTCTGGGAAGAAAAGGGAGTGTGGGTTAGGAAGCAAGTCTGGCTGTACTGAAGGGACAAGGGGGGTTGGAGAACACTGCTTCCTCTAAAGTATACTCAACAGTTACCTCTACCAACAAGTCCAAAGAAAACCAAACCAAAACATGTTTTAAAAGCACATGGAATTCTCTTAAAAAGTAGCCTATAGCCCGCACCCTCACCTCTCAGCAACTAGACAAGATATTGTGAGTTATTTCATCCTTAGAAGTAAGAGACATGGTGTCAAGCAGTGCACGCCTTCAGTCCCAGCACTCAGTAGGCAGAGGCAGGTGCATCTCTGAGTTCAAGACTAGTCTAATAGTCTAGTCTACAGTTGGTTACAGATAACCCTGTCTTAAAAAAGCAAGATCTCATGTTTATTGGGTGCATGTGGGGGAGGGGTACCACCTAAGCACTTAAGTCTTTATGCCAATCCTGGCATATTATACTTCTACCTTACTAACAAAGACACTAAGCCACTAAGTTTCCTACTAAAGGCCTACAGCAGCTTGCCTCATCCGGACATTAGTCCACCTAGCTAGCGGGATGTGTGAATCATGATTAAGATAACTTGGATGACTATTTACACTAGCATCCTTCAATTTCCCCATCTGTACAATGGGTATCAATACTAAACTTCTGAATGACGTTTCAAATCAGAGACCCTGGCAAAATGGAGGCACTTTTCTGGCAAAATGATCCTAATTACTACTATATTCCTGTTAAGAGAGCTGTGATGTTGCCTAACAGAGATCCTGCTCTGCCCTTTCAAAGCAAGTGCAGGACTTATTTACCAAATACACATATGAAACTACTAAACAAATTAATTCCTCAAGACAAAAGTAGGCAATTCAGAAACCTTATTTACTTCGAGTCTGAATAACTTACAGAAACCTAGTAGTTAGGCAATAAGCTATATAAAACTCTGTCTGATGTAACCGTCATGTCATGAAGTCTTCAGATAAAACTATTGCATACATCAACAGCTAAACAGTATTCTACTTGGTCCAATTATTAAATGAACAGGGGTGGGGGAATGGGGGACGTAAGCTGCAGAAGATTCATTAGACCATGGAAGTTCACTCAGATTCTGAGTCTAACATCTACTTGGGTACACACTGGGACATATCATAAGTATTAGCAAGCGGGGCAGTGGCGGCGCACGCCTTTAATCCCAGCACTTGGGAGGCAGAGGCAGGTGGATTTCTGTGTTCGAGGCCAGCCTGGTCTACAGAGTGAGTTCCAGGACAGCCAGGGCTACACAGAGAAACCCTGTCTTGAAAAAAAAAGTATTAGCAGCTGATTCAAAACAAAGTGCTACAGTGAATTTGAGTCTTTTAAAAGGAAACCAACCTCTAAACTGAAAACTTTCTACTTATTAAAGGTCAACCACTGCCTGCTTTTTCCTGCATAGAACCAAGCCCAGGACCCACTGTATGACACACAGTCATAGCTATGTAGGACTGACTACCTGATGCCTCAGTAGTTTGTCCCTCTAAGAGGGGGTAATGTAATCATCTACTAGTCAGGAGGCTTAACTCACTATGAAACAAACTGAATAGGAGTTTTAACAAGCTTCATATACTTTACTGTTGACCCTGTAAGAAGTGTAGTAGCAAACATGGAAAAAGTTGACTGCTCATTAAAGAGTACAACAGATAAATAAGCGGATACTATTTATGCTTTGCTATGCTATGCTCTACTCAACTATACCATAATAATGGAACCCCATTGTTAGCCCCTAACTAACAAAGTATTATCCATTTTGGAAAGTCGGTGTATAGTGTGGGTATTTATGGTGGGGGTTGTGAGACTCAAGACATACTCAAATTAACTAAAGATCACTGCTTAACTGGCATAGCCACACAGGAAGGATGCTGGGAATCAGAGAGCCCCTGACGATCATTAAAATAGATATGGTTATAAAAATGGGTACATCCGGAACAGATCTAGATAGCCGCCTGAAGTTGGAAAGAAAGTTGACAGAGAAGTGCATAGTAAGAGGCAAGAAGTTTCTCAGGGAAAGAGGGGGAGGGCAGGGAGACACTGGCTAAAAGCATAGGAAGCAATGCACAACATGGCAAAATGTGAGTTATACACAGGGGGATGCAAAATAGAAATGTAGTAGTGCCATCAGATTTTTACATTTTACATAGCTCATCAGTGCTTATGTCTAGATGAACTTTGTCCTCGGCTGGCTTCTGGAGTGTATACTGAATAGTATTAGGCAACACATGAACAGCTGCAGTTCACTGAAGCAACATACACTACTTGCAGTCCCATCTCTGAAAAGGATAATTTCAACCACACAAAGCCATGATTAATTAAGGCAGTTACCTCAAGGCTGCCCAGAGAAATGGGAGGGAAAAGTGCATAAAAACTAAAGCAAATTGGGAGTAAAGAGCTTACAAGAAGAACATAAAACAGAAACACATCTATATTTACAAATGCAATTCTGATATAAATACAGAAGCAAACT